AGCAATGTATTTTTCAAACTGTGTAAATACAGGTCTCTGATTTTTACTTCGAATCGGTGTTGTTTCTGGAGTCTACCTGCTGGTAATTACTAAAGTTTGATTATTCAATTTATTTCCGTTTTCTTTCTTTTTCTTCCTTTTTTTTTTTCCCCCAATGAGAATTGAAGGTTATTGTTCTGAAGTAAGATTGCTGCACTATAAAACACAGCCAGTGTTGTCTTATACAGGAACTGGAAAGTCCCAAATCCAGTGCATACAAAAGGGAATTCAATTACATGTTTAATTGTATGCACAGACTCCAAAAATGACAGCAGGTTTCTTTAGGCAGCAAACAGTTGCAGAGGCTTGAACTTTAAGTTGCAATTAGCTGAACTTTCCGTCTGACTGAGAGGATTCTCTGAGGAAAACCCCTCTTTCCTCTGCTGGCTGCTGTTGCACATCACTGCCTGCAGATTCATTCATGCATCACCGGGCTTCTGCACTGTGCCTTGGGTGGGGTGGGCCCCAGAGAGGGATGAAAATCACCGCCAGCTGCTGCTGATACTACTGCTAATGCCGCCGTGGAGAGCCCTGTGATTTCACGGGAAGGAAGCTGATAAACATGCAGGGCTGAAACAATTTTCTCTGCCACCCCTATTAACAGCAGCCACAATGGTCACTGACAATTACAGTGTCTGATGGCTGTAAGCCTGGCTTTGAAATGACTATTACCTCTCTTGGAGTGACAGACAACAGTGCTCCTGAATTTCTGGCACCATCTGGAAAAAGGCAGAGGCTGCTCCAAAGTGTCTCTCCCTTCCAGCTGCCAATAGACCACAGAGAATGGTCCAAGCCACCAGATACACCACTAAAAGTAGGCTGTAGGAGTGGGTTTTACTCAGTACCAACCACAACACGTTTAGCAGAGAGGTACAGGTGACAATCCCAACCTTAGTCTTGCTTCTCTCACTTTGTTCACTTTCCACTTGAAGTCTGAAATTCTGTAGTCTAAAAATTCAATTCAGAGCCAAAACCCCAAATTTGATTAATACATGCTCTTGGTTATCATTTGATGCTTATATACAGTATTTTGAACAGCATCACTTACTCCAGTACACTATTGTATTCTTTTCAGAGAAGGCAAGTTGGTCCTGGCCATTTCACCATTATTCTCTCTGTGAGCTAGCCATATACATTCAGACTTAGTCCTGGGAAAACAATTTCAGAGAACAGTTCTCTTGCATGGGATTCTCTTTCGAAGAAACATCAATGTTTTTGAAAATTGCCTTACTCTATCCTAGCACAGGCTCGTTAGTATCAGAACAGAAATACAGAGCAAGAAGATGAGAAAGCCAGTGTGGAAGCTTTGTTACATCGTCTCTGGAATTTCCCCAAAGTTCTTGGGCACAGTTTTCCTCTCTTTATCAGTTTTTCCCCTGCTTTCTCTATGACATATTTCGCTACGAGTCAACTGCACTCAGAACTAAAATTACCCTTTTCTCAAAGCAAAAACACAGTTACCACAGGACTTCTACTCCATCTTCTTACCCAGGAGCACGATCACCAACATCCAAACTGTCCTTTTAAGGCATTTATCCAATCTCTTTATGTAATCACTTATTAGAAAAAATATCTCTTAGCAACCTATTTTCAAACCTAATTATCATTGCTTTTTAGCTGTTCCCTCTGAATACCACCTTTTCTTTGGCAAGAGCATTGTCATTTTTTAATCGATTCTCCTTTTCTTTTTAATTAACACATATCTCACAGATTTCAACTCTATATTTTCCTCTGCCATATGAAAAGTACAGATTTTACTTATTCTAACTTTTCACGCATCTATATACTCCATTCCTATTATAGGTTAACTTGATGGCTACTGCAATCTTGATTTATTACTAATTTCTTATTTTTCCCTACAGCTTACAGTTGGTTTCTAAATTAGTGGAAATCTTTGCAGAGGTTTACACTAGTTTCCTGCCTAGATACTTTTCAGATTTCTTCTCTAAGTTAAAATTCTTCAAGGGTTATGATATCTCTATAACCAATTTTAGTTTATTCACAAATCCATTGTGCTCCTGACCATGCAACCAAATATCACTTTGAGATCCTCATCATTTTTCCTCACTGTATTTTTTTCTGTTTTTTTTCCACAGTCTTTCATTTGAAATGCTTTTGCTGCTGTCCATTAATAAAACCAATTTTTTTTACTCCTTTTTTTTTACTTCTTTTCTACAATATCAAGTATTTTAGCAGCAATGAGCTCATGCTTTACTCTACTGTTTATACTTGTCTATCAGCAGCTGAGGACATCTCATGCTGCTAGCACATTCTTGCTGCAGTCGAACCTCCTGCATGTTTAGGTACTAGATAAATTACCACAGTATTTGTACAGCCTTCAAGTACAGGCCTTCCTTGGCCTATGAAAGGCATGGGAACAGTTCTGGAAAGAAAGACACGCCAGATATGGGAGAACGTTTCATTTAATCTTGGCTTGAGCTACCAGTGGTTTTAAAAGCATTTAGTTAAAGAAGTTCTCCTCACTTGTAGGATGCTATCTTCTCTCATTAAGCCTTTCTGTTCCTGTTTTCAAGGTAATGGCTCTGCGTTGTGGTGAACACCGAGAACTAAAGAAGCAACAAATATTTCTCCAAAGATAGCAAGACAATCTTCTGCCATGGATTGTTGGCTCTTTATGTGAGAGCAGTTCAAGGGCAGACATATAACCTTTCCATTAACAAAAAAAATGATGGAAGTCAAAGCGAACTTCATTCAAGTTTCTTGGCAACTTGGGAGAATAGCCAACACACACACAAGTGAATAAAAAGCACAAAGTGCAAATAGCTTATTTAATCTACTTCATTTGCAGATTACTGTGACACATGTAAGCTAAAAGGCTTCCTCTGTGATTGACTGATAACTTGAGGAGCCCTTTCTCAGAGCCCTATCCTGCAGCTCTGGCACATCTTGGGTGCCAACAGAGAATCCCTCCCTCCACTGGTAGACTCATTCTCTCCCTTTGCACTTCATCTTTGCTCCTACTTTTGTTTCAGCTTCTTCCAGTTTAGGGGTCAAAATTCTACAATTCACTTCTTGTTAATCAAGGAAAACCATGAGAGAAATGCTTTTACGAATATACCATGTCCACAGGGGAAAATCTCCCCTCAGAGCTATCATTAACCAATCTGTCTGCAGCTAAACTCTCCTGGCCTATGAAATGTGGCTCAAACTCATCGGACAAGAGAAATCATCTCAATACCACAAGTACCCCTCCCTCACATAGCAGTGACAGAATGGTCACAACAGCACTGAACTCAGGATGAATCAGATTTTCTATATCTCATCTTTCCTTTAGCAGTCACATTAACAGTAAGCTCAGGCTGTTTCCATTTTTGCCACATTCAGTACTAACAGTGTAATCAACAGCTATGACCAGTATCCTGTGATGCACAGCGAAGTCATTGGTTTAAAAAAAGAAAATAAAACTACCATTAACTGCCGTTTTGAAGTCATTACTGACTACAAAGTCATGCTGGAATGCACTGCATACCAACTAAAATATATTGTAGCTATAATCTAATACCTTGCTAAGCCATTAAAGAAACTTCCCCGTGGGGCATACATGCAGTCTGACATACTTTTTGCAACTACGCTGAAGAGTAGATGGTGAGCTTTTCTTCCATGCCTCACCGCAAAATTGCATGACTCCCCAAACCAGTACAGACCCCACTTTTTTAGGACGCTCCTGGCAGCTCATAAAAGGAGAAATCAGTTGAGCAGGTGGGTAACCAAAACACTGTAATTCTCATACAGCAAACAGACTCGGAGTAAGCCAAAGTCTTGTCTTGGATATTCCTCTCACGCAGTACTCCTGCCCTTTCTCTATAGACTGCATCTCTATACCTGATTGTAACAAGCACACTTTGGAACAGTGGGCAGACAATTCATAGGCAGGAGAGCAGGGAAGGTTCTCCTGCTATCCCAGATGTGCCGGGAACTGTTCACTCCGACACACCCATTCACAGCCCGACAGCACTGCCACCATTACAGAAGTATTCACTGCTGCTCAAACAAATGATATATATATGTATCATACGCACAAACACAGCCCTTGGGTGACAATGGCAATGAAAAATGTACTTTGTTAGATTTCTGGAACTGATGAGTGGAAAAAATAATGTAGAAGGATAATTGTTGCCCTGACCACAGAGTGCCTCAAGGCAGTTTCTGTCACAGTGAGAGTCTGTTAAAAGCATGGCTATTTTCCTTGGACACTGCTGAGCCTGCACCACATCAAATTTCTAGAGCATTTTGCTGTTTTGGACCACAGCTATTATTTCTTTCTCCATATGAACAATTATAAATACAAATATGAGAAGCAGACAACCAAGCCACAGAAAGCTGATTGACACACAATCAATTTTGTGGGCACTCCTGACGCCCTTTGTTTCAAACTCTCACCAGTCAGCCCCAAAGAAAACTTAAGAAGTCAGAAACAGGCATGCTCGGCAGAAAAGCTCTGCAAATTTCAATCACACTAATCACTGCAGTTGTGTTTCTGTTTTCCAGGCTGTGTCCAAACTCAGACTGCATTAGCTGTTAGTTAAATCCCTTCAGCTCAGGAATACAGTTGCTGTATGCTGAGGGGGGTTCCCTCACCCCAGCCTCCAAGAGTGCTGGGAGAGCAAACCAAGGGTGTAATGTTGTTGAACGCAGATTTACCAGAACTATTCCAGATTCCCAAGCATACTTCTGCTCTTAATTTAAACGTTAATGCTCTACAACTCCCTTTTTATGGATCTGGAATTGTCATTTACAAGCAATACACCAGCTTTCCCTGGTTGCACAGAACAGCACAGCCCAGATTACAATTCAAAAACATCTCCAGTAAGTCCTGCAAGTAACAGTTTATACAAAGACAAATGCAAGAAAGCTGTTAGCTATACAGTAGCAGAACTGTTGCTGTCTAAAGCATGAATTTATCAGCAATCATAAAAAGTTTCATTCATAAAAAAACTTACGTGTCTCTGTTAGACAAAGCTTCAGCAAGCATAATCCAAAAGTTGCCCATAAGTAGAAGTTGGCCATTGTTTCCTCAGAACTGCTTTGCAAAAAAACAGAGATCCTCGCAAGCTGCAGAAGGAAGAAAAGCCCCAGCGCCTGTTAAGCCTGCAGTCAATGAGTCTGAAGTTTGCTGCACTTTTTATTCTGATTCAAAGGAACTGAAGTAATGACATAACTGGGAGGGGGAGCTCCATCAAAAGTCACACCCCATATTGCAACAAAAGTTACGGAGCAGGGCAGGGGGGGCCACGGGGGGGCTGTGAGTTCTGACTAAGCAGACACACGAGTTTTAAAGAGGCGCTAAGCCTTTTCTTACACAAGTACAGGCAAAAGTTGTAGCTGTTGTGCTTGCAGAAAAATGTGTGTAATTTCTTATGAGGTAGCTCAGGAAGGCACTGACTGTTGTAAGCTCCCCCTCCTGCCTTTTACAATCTTATTAATGTAAACTAAGCAAACTTAAAGCAATACAGCTTTAAGAACCCAGCTAAACACCTACAACTGCCTGGATGTTTCTCCAAAATATTTTCGCTAATTTTGTCCCATCTCATCATACTCTCACTCTGCAGTAAAATTTAGGGCAAGCAAAAATACCTGCTCTGCCACGGGCTCTCCTGAGATGCTCCTGCTCACAGCCGGAGGATATCCCCACACAGCAAGTAAGTCGAGGCGGCTCCGTCGCCTGCAGCCCGTTCCACCCTGTGCTCCAACAGCAGGTAGGTAACTACTCAGTGCCAGGACAGAGGACCAAGGTCAGTGCTTTATTGTATTGATGGTACAACATAGGGAAGGAGTCCTATTTCCAATTAACAAGGCAGAGGAACAGGACGAGAGCACGTAGCAGTCTTTGGCATGCAGTGGAAGTCATGCTTCCCAAGGGAGACACAGAGTGTGTGGGGCTCTTTGGGACTCCACAGTTAGCAAAAGACACCACATGAAATCCTTGGTGAAAACCTCAAAGCTCCTGCAGATAAGAGAGAGACATGTCTATTGCACACCCTGGTGATCTCACAGTGTCTCTCCTCAGCAGTCATGAGGTGCTTTGTGGGGTGGCACTTGGGGCTGCGAGGGCTCACCCAGCCGGGCACATCCCACCTATAGAAGCCGACAGGGCAGGCAGATGGTACTTCCCCAGTTTCAGTTTCACTCAGCAAATTCAAAGTGAAAAGTTCTGTATCAGATTACCATGGTGTCGATGCTCCTGCTGTAAATAATTTTCTCATTAGTTTTTAATCTCATCTAACACCAAACAGTGGAAAAATACAGACAGGTCTTTCCAGGCACGGGCACAAGAACTTCATACTTTGCCTTTCCTTTGACTTTTGACTTAAAGATGGCTGGCATCCCTTCCTCCGTCAGCTGGCTCCTGAGCAACAGGTTCCAACAGGCTTTCCTACAGGTCTGGGATATCTGATGGGACAAGGTTAAAGTGAAAATTTTTCCTTAAACCCAGAGGATCTTTTTATTAAGAAACTAGCAACTTTGAAGTTACAGATTAAACATACTGTTTTGTGAATATGTTGCTTTTTCTTTTGAAACAAATGTTTTTAAGAGCAGAGCAAAAATTACCTCCTGTGTAACTTACTGTTTGTAGGAGTGAAAATAGTTCTGTGAATCCCTGTATATTTATACATATGTGCTGACATCTAACTTTATGAATGAATGAATGAAGCTTAGTGGGATTTAAAATGCTGGTACACAGTTAAGGCCTGTTATAATTTACTGAGGATCTACAAAGGAAATTTCTTCAACTGATAAACTTCTTTTGAAATTCACGCCATGCATGAGACAAAGGAATTGAATATTTAAATAAAATTTGGATATTTTTGACTGCTGTTTGTTTGTTTTGGTTTCCTTTTGGATAAACATAAAATACCACTCTGTTAATGTCCTGTATTCCAATTTAAATGGAACAATAACAACAAAACAAAACATGTTTTCTTTACCATGGGTAAGTGGAGAATAATGTTCACTTCAGGGATATTGGTGTTACAGAAACAACACTCTTATTTTACCAGCAGTGGAAATTCCTACTCTCTCCATGGACTGAAGTTTCTCATTCCTTCTCTTCTGACATCAGATTATCACCAGGTCTTTTTCTCAATTATTTGATACTTATTTTAGACATCTCGATACTCCTGCATGTGTTTGCTGGGAGTAGTGGTATTCCACTTCAAAATACCAGTTTCTTTTTTTTTGCTGCTGCAATTGGGCTAAGATTAGGCATGTTTAGATCAGGTGCATAGATGTTCTAGTGCCTAATACAAGTGGAAAAGACGGATGTATACAAGAATAATTCATCACAGTACATTATTTCATGTGATAAACCACAGAAAGAATAATGAATACATCCCAAGTCAGTCTGGCCATTTCACATGCCATCTGCTTGCATACACATCAGTCTAGGACACAGACCTGCATTCCAGATTCTTGAGCACTTCAAAGTGCTGCCACTAACAAATAAATAAAAAGCCTGACATGAAAATATTTCCTTAGTTCCCACCCAAACATGGAATTTCTTCCTTAAAATATGTTGGCCTGAGGTAGGCAGCAATCCATATTTGGCCTGGGTGCAGGGCCTGATGCTACCCAGAAAATTAAGTCAAAGGCAATGTTCATCTCTGGAAAATGTATAGGACGTACAATTTTTCATAGAGAAATAAATAAGTTCTGGTTTAGCTTGAGATAATCCTAGGAAGCATGAAAATCTTGAAGCAGCTCTTCAGCTGAGGAAATGTAGCAGAGCATTGCTTCAAGTTGAGGCCATCAGTTCATTTCAATTGTGAATCTGTTCCCCTGACAGTATTGTTAACAACGCCCTTAGCTTTGGCCGCAATGACTTAAATTATTGGCACCAAAAAATTATAAAATATTAAGTGGCACCAAATGAACTTGGTGGATTTTCAAAGGAGAATCAATCAACAAATCCAACAATTAAAATTACAAAACCACAACTTTAAAAAAATTGCCTTGTTCAGAAGCCTTTGACACAGCAGATACTGTGTCCACGATGGCGCTATCAAGTACAGGAGCACCAATTCTTGATTTTATCACACATGTGAACTGCAGCCAGTAGCAATTAATTTTGATAAAAATCCTATTAGGGAGTGCATGGTTTGGAGCCCCTGAAAAGGAACGTGTGGCTCACAGCAATATAAAGATACGTTTTTTGCTGGAATTCCCTTAGAGGATGAAATTCTGGTCCAGCTGAAGTCAAACATCAAAATTCCACTGAATTCAGTAGGGCAACATTTCCCTGTATATTTATTTGGATTTTATCATATATACAGATTATCAAATGAAAATACCTGAACTTATGAAGTAAATGACATCAGTGGAGAACAGTTTCTTTACTAAATTGGAACAACTGAAACAGGGGGAAGAAAGAAATTTTATTTCTGGCAAAATCACGTGCTTTTTTTTTTTTTTTTTTTTTTTTTTCCAAAAACGTGAAAAAAGAATGTTCTTAATTTGAAAACTTTTTTTTTTTTTTTTGTATTTTCAGCTGAAGGAATATTTTTAATAAAGAATTCTTTTTTGAATCTATTTTTATGAAAATTTCAAATCATGGGGAAAATTCAATTATTGTATGGACCTGAAGAATATAATCTTGGTAAGAATAAAAAGTACAAACAATCGCATTAGATAATTCTGTTCATGGCAGCAAACATTCAGCATAGACTACAGTTGGTCTGGCTGTAAGACAGTTTGGGAGTGGAAGGAGGATTTTATACCCACGTAACTAGGATCTCAATAAGATATGGCATTTTTAATAAGATTTCCTCCTGTGTCCCCAGACTGCAATCTTGTTTGCCACATTTCAGACTGGATTTAATTTTCACGATCAACCCTGAAACCAGGTTTTGTAATGGAAATGGTTGTAAATGCTTCAGTGTAGTAAATCCTGTACTTACTGCACACTTCCTGGGCTCTGAGTGCTGTTGGGAAGGCAGAAGAGGAGGCTGTGCTAGCCTGAGCCAGAAAAGCTACTCTTTTGGCTGGAGGGCAAAGCACTCCCTTGGGAAGTTGGGCACCCGGTTCTACTCCCATCAGCCTTTTGTTCCCAGATGTAATTTACAGCTTGTGTCCTGCAGAGAGTCAGGAAGATGAACAATGGTTGCTAGTTGTTTACTTCTGAAAAAGGCAGCAACCCAGATTGGCACCTACCGCACAGATTCATCATCCTGTTTTACTGGTTTGCCCCAGATCCCTAAACAATTTGCTAATCCAATGCAGTCAAAAATCTCTAAGTCAGAATTGCTCAAGTACGCTGCAAGAAATGCTTTGCAGCAAGGTTTCCTCTTCAGCAGACCATGTGGTCCTGTCAGCTTCCTCGCTCCTCCTGTCTCAAACAGATCAGCCCCTGGCTGAACCCCCTGGCGCACAGCGGGGCACCAGCAGGACATCCTGGCACAAGTACCCATCCACATCTTTCACACCATTATACCCCATTAGTTACTAGGTCAGAGCTGGAGATGGGGTAGGATCCTGCACAGAGCACATCAGCTGCCACCAAAAAGTCAGCGCACAGAAAAGATGTACTGCTTGTACTGGTGACACAGAGCCAGTAGCAGCTGTGTGAGGGCTGGGGGAGCATAGGGGGAACTGAGAGATGGGGGGACAGATTCTCTGCAGGTGGTTTCGGTTTTCCTCTTCTCCTCCTGCTTCCTGCTTGGCCCTCCCAGCACCCACTGCACAATACAAACACAAAAATTTGCACACTAGGGCATGAGCTGCCATCTTGGCACTCATTTTTGTCTTCCTGATTTCGTTTCTTGCTTTTGCCCTTTAACAATACGTAAACCATGCTTATACCAGGTCATCTCCAGGATGTGAGGTTTCTTGTCTTCCCCATTCTCCTCCTGGTTTTGACTTCTACCTCCACTTCTCTCTTGTCTGCACTTGTTTCACCTCTCATCCTTTCTCATCTGCTCTCTCTTCTATGCCATGTGATGGAATAACGAAGTTGAAGACTTAATGCTCCAGAAGAGCAGGTGAGCTGTACAAAATGCAAAGATTCATATTACTCAGGAAACACTTAGGATTTGCATAAACAGACTGCTAACTGCACCAATAGATAAATCTAAGGGGCCTGCTACACCTAATATGGACCTGGTCAGAGCCCTTCAAAGTCAAGACAAGCTCTGAGCTGATTTTGAGGAATTTCCACCACTCAAGCCAGCTGTGAACAATGTTTGGTTT